GTTTTTCCGAAATGGCGAAGCCCTTTATAGAGAATTTGAAGGTATGTCCCCCCCTGTCTGCAACGTCACTCGCCTTTCTCCACTCTTAGCGCCTGTCTATTTCATTGCCCCCCCATCCCCCTTTTCTCATTTGATTCAGATAATTGCGCCCTACAGTCAACCCTTCAACGACCTTGTGCATCGCCTGCGTGTTCAGTCGAAACAGACGCTGGATTCGTTTGTGCAACAACTCTCACCCACTGCCGGTGGTAATCTTGTCCCTCCGGACGCTACTGTCCATGAGTTGGCCTCCAACGTGAGCTGAACCGCCGTTTCTTATGACATTTATATGTTTCTATTTTATGCTCGGTCTTTGCAGAGGGAGGGGGTAGCAGCGGCCGTAACAAGAATTGATTGAGTTTGTTGAATAATTCCGTTTTGCCTTCTTCTAAGGGATTATTGACGAATGGTATAACATGTTTCTCCCTTTCCAGAGACCTGCTATAGTTATTTTGCTTACCTTATCGTAATATGCCTCTAAAACGGGCCACACGATAGATGATGGAATCCTACTCTGGGCCCCAGAACTTTTTCAAATAATCTAACGATCTGGGACCCAAAGTAGGATTCTACCCGATAGATTTGCTAGACCAATACGGGAGCCAGATCGGGGAGCGGTATGTTAGGACGGCCTAATAACAACCTTAGCAAGCAGTAACTTGTAGGCCATAGCCGCGTCCACAATAGGCTATCGATCGGCCTGTGCGCGAGCTTACACATCGAGCTAGACAATCAATTGATAATTTGAATTTCTAGGTACGTTCACTCACTGAGCCAACAGCCAATGGGACCGGCCACTATTTTAGGATAGAATCTGATTGGCTCAAGGGACATCGTTTACACACGTTGGCTTCCTAAATACATTGTACCTGAGACACAAAAAGACCTCTGCTTTCTGCACACTCTTTGTTGTGTTCTCTCTTTGGGGACTCAAATGAGGCATAGTTAGACGGCAAATATTTCGGCCTGGGCATCTGTTACAACATTTAGCGACGCAGGGCGGTGATATCTCGGCCCGGGCTTCCGTTACAACACGGTAG